CCATAAAAGCAACCTAATAATGATTAAGTAAAATCAAAGACACTTTTAAAATGCCTGTATGTTTTTATTGTTATGCTTCAAAAAGGTACCCTGCATAAAGGTACCCTGATTTGAACTTCCCTTATGCTTGAATTAGGGTGTTTCTTTTGGAACACTCTCACATCAGGCTTCTGCTTCCCTTGGCAAAATCAGGAACTGGCTGATGTTGTCTTAAAGGTTTTCCCACGTTCCCTTTTCCAACATCATTCTTCTTTCATGAACCTCATTTCATTAGCCAGGAACCCCTCATGCTGCCTTCTGCATTCTGCCTACTGCTCAGTAATGTTTCAGGCTCTTTATAATCCTCTCTTAATATTACAATATGTTTTTCCTGGCACTTACCTGCTTGCTAGGTGGATGACTAACCTGATAATCTTTACTATAATGTTGAATTAGTCTTAATTTTCTTTAAGATTTTTTTTAAAGCAGATTCCTACAAATGCTATCAGCATTGCAGCCCAAAATATTGTAGGTGTTTTGGTGAACCTAACAGATGATACCTGAGTATAACAGGACCTTTTAAAAAAGTGAAGTACATTGGGTAGCTTTACCTAGCTTGGGCAGTGGATATGGAAAAGCTGCTCTCCCTGAAATTACCCTTAAAGGTAGGAATGTAACCCCAAACACCTAATGAGTATTCAATCAACTTTCCACTGCACTTAAAATAAAGTTTACACTCTTTTTTACAGCTGAGTAGTATTCCTCTGCGTAAATGTCCCATAGTTGTTTTATTCACTCATCTACTGATGGACACTTAGGCTGCTTCCGTATCTTGGCCATCATAAATAATGTTGCAATGAACATAGGGGTGCTTATGCTCTTTTCAAATTAGTGTTTTGGGTTCCATCAAATATATTCCCACAAGTGGGATCACTGGGTCAAAAGATTGACCCATTTTTAATTTTCTGAGGTATCTCTATACTTTTTTCTATAGTGGCTGCACCAATCTGCATTCCCACCAAAGTGCAAAGGGTATGAAAGCAGCCCAAGTATCCGTCAGTAGATGAGTCAATAAAAGAACCATGGGACATTTACACAATGGAATATTACTTGGCCATAAAAAAGAAGAAAGTTTTGCCCTTTGTGACAATATGGATGGACCTGGAGGACATTATGATAAGTGAAATAAGCCAATCAGAAAAAGACAAATACCATATGATTTCACTTATACATGGAACCTAATGAACAAACTGAACTAACAAGGAAAATGGGGACAGGCTCAAATGGAGAGCATGATGACAACTAGTAGAAGGGAGGTTAAGGGATGGAGGGATTGAGCGAAAAGGGAAAAGGACTCATGGACATGGACGACAGTGTGGTGATTGCAAGGTAGGATGGGGGTACAAGGGGACTAAATGGTAATGGAAAAAACTGCAATAAAGATTAAATAAAATTTACACTCTTGTGCAGGGCCAAAAAGATCTGGCCTCTCCCAATCTGTCTCTACCTCACACAAAAGCCTATTTAGCCAAGTAGGCTTTCCTTCTGTCCTTGAACAGGTCGAGCTGCATCCTCATTCCTGCTTTAAGGCAGGCAGTGCTGTGTTCCAGGTTTTGGCATGCAAATTACTCTTCATCATTTTGTACCCGGTTCAAATGTCACCTAGTCAGACAATCTAAAGTAACCTCACAATCACTTTCTAGCACAACATTTTATTTTATTCATGGAATTAGTTGTTGTGAAATTTCCTTATTCGTGTATTTGTTTACCTGTTCTTCCCAGGACCCCTCCTAAGATACTCTTCATTGAGTTCATCACTGCATTCTGTGTTTTGCACAGAACCTGGTACATATTCAGGGCTCAATAAATATGTGCTAAATAAATGCATAAGTAGGTGACCCAGGCATAAATTAACTTTTAAACTTAACTAATTGAGTAAAACTTCCTTGTTGTAGTAATATTGGAAAAGAGTGAGGGAGGGTGTTAATATCATTATAGCTAATGTAGCTAATATGTTTATAAGACTTTTATTGATCATGCACTACAGCATTTTTTCATGAAAACATAAATATTGGATTGATAAATATTCCATTTGCCTTTTTGCAAAGCTGTCCTTCGATGAGGCCATCACAAATCAATGCTAGTGGTCTTTGAGAAACACTGCCAACTCATTTAATCTTCTGTTGATGTTAAGAAACTGCATTTCCCTTTTGCCAGTTTCTAGCTGTTCTAGATATGTAGTCTCTACTGCTAGGACTTCAGAAGCCAATGAACAACTTGCCTGTCACATGATCCATCGAATGATCTCTCCCCACATGCAGTGTAGCTAAGCAGAGAAGCAGATCTCAGAAAATGATAACCAACACAGCATGAAACGTATTTCTAAACCTATAGTTTATTATCCAGCAAAGTTCACCCCAGCATCCTGCCAAAAAAACAAAAAGCCTAGAAATTGAGCATTTGGGTTTCTACAAGGCAGTCCCAGGTTAGCTGGTTGTAGCTTAGAAGCAGATGTCTAAAAACAGTTCAGCAAGCCTGCAGTCAGATGATTTTGTAGAGCTCTCCTCTTAAAAAGGCAAAATTGAGGCAAGTCAATGGATTACAGCTTCCTGGGTTTGCTTTTGTTACCTATAAAATATCACAGTTAATCCTACTTTGCTAAAGTGAAACTCCAAAGTTTGGGGAAAAAATTATCATTTCTTCTAAGAAAGATTAAGTAAACTGGTAACAAAAAAAGAAAAGAGAGAAACTTAACATGAGTAAAGAGAGAGAGAAGTCGGGAAGAGCTAAATAACTTTCCCTTTAAGAAAAACTTGTAGCATGAGAAAGTATTATTTTTAAACGACTACAAAAAAATTTCTTGAGACCGCATGTCCTAGGAAAGCTTGATCATTAATTTTTCCAGAGGAATTATTAACACAAATGACAAAACTCTACTACTATTCTTCAATTATTACACTATCATATTTAATACACACAATCGTATCTTGGCATACAAAACAAAAAGTTCTTGGTGTTTTTTATGGAGGTGGAGTAACAAGGGGTGTCTTTTCATCAAACCTCATAATAGAGTGAATTCACTTCTCATTAATTTGGCCTCCTTCATATCTTTTTGTGCTCTGACACGATTAATTACCAGGGTAAGATTGTCTGTAGCTAGCATGTACTGTAAAACTACAGTTCTTTCCCACTTTTCATGGACCATTTACAATCTGCAAGGTTTGCGGTGGATGTGAAATGTATTACTGCCAATGGATAGGCACATCAGCAGTGCTGAAAACCAATCCTTGTGTCTTCTTCATCGTGCCATATGGTTCCATAAAAAACGGGTGAACCAAAAGTGCCGCTAATGCACTTTGTCAAGTGGGTTGAGACTCATTCTTTGATATTATGATAAGGAAACTGTAGATGAATGTATTTTCATGCTTTAGTCATTTACCATATAAGCATGTACTAATTCATTTGGGAGGGAAAATATCAGGTTTTTAAGGCCTTTTCTATTTTATAGGAGCTGTAATGTTTTTAAGGAAATACACTGCAATAAAATTATTAAACATATATTACAGTTTCAAGCAGAAGATCCCCGGTGTTTGTAGTAACGCCTTCCAAAAGATTAAGGATCGCGGTTTTAAATCCTTTCCAGTAAGTCAACTGAGTACTCTGGAGACATTAAAAAGCCAGCTGAAGCACCAAGATAAAGTTGTGTCCCCCTAGTGACCTCTCGAGTGGAGCTAAGCTCCCACAAGCAAGACTTGGGATTGGAGGGTGGGGGGAAGCAAGAAGCATGCCTAAGCCGAGCGCGCTGCTCTGAACCAAGCCCAGATATTTAACTCACCCTCCCACCTCTGAGTCCTGGTCCTATTTCATATAAGCCCAAGGCGAAATAAGTCTCCGCCTCTGGGGCCATTAGGCCCATTGGGTCGTAATCCAACTTCAAACGCTGCCGCTTTCTCCTCCCCACAGTGCTCAGGTCCAGTTTCCCCCAAGCACCAGCTTCCTAACCACGCACGGTGTGGAGCTGGCTTTCCTCTCCGCAGTGCTGCGGACACCGCGTGGCCACGGCTCGTTCCCCAAGCCAGAGCTTGAGAGCTCAGAGCGCCGGGGAGCGGGCGAGCTGCGACCTCCGCGAGTCAGCGCTGTGGCTGGTGCCGGCGACCTACTCCCGGCGCAGTGCTCTGAAAGTCCCGGGGACGCCCCTTGGCCGGAAGCCGCCCAGAAGGCTCCCTCCCAAGTTCAGCTTGGATCCCGCCGAGATGCCTCCAGTCATCCCAGCCACAGGCTCTTCCTTGTTTTTCCCCACCCCACCCTCCCCGCCCCCCAACTTTGCAACTTTGGAAGCTGTGGTTCCAAAGGAGCAACAGGGGGATTGCTCAGCTGGAGTCACTGCCCGCCTAGGCAGTCGGGTAAAGGGATAAAAGGAAAGAGCCTGCGAGGACCTGGGTGGCAGCAAGTCCCCTTGACCGTGGGGGAAAAGGAAAGCCAGACACATCTTATCTCCTCCAGAGGATGGAGGTTGGAAAATGGATGCAGAACTAGTTACCCTAGGGATGAAGGAAGGGGAGGGAGAGGTTGGGTGGAGGGAATAGAAGAAGTGACCTCACAAAAAACTCTCCCCCCCCCCCCCCGCTCTCTCTCTCCCTCTCCCCCCCCCCCCGACATAGCCTCATTCCGAAAAAGGATGAGACTCTTAGAGCCAATACTCATTCCCCACTACCCTGAGGGAAGAAGGTGCAACGTGCAACAGATACCCAAGCTCGTGGAGTAGAAAGGGGGTGGGGTGAGAGAAAGAGTCCCCAGGTTTTTCCCAGGTTACAAAAAGGGGACAAACTCCGGTCGGTGTCTTCCCGGAGGCAAAAAGGGGTGCGGCAGTGCTGGGGTCCCCCCATCTCCTGGAGAAAACAAACTCTTCCCCGGCAGGCAGCCTTCCACTTGGTCGCGTCTGGATGTAAACAGGCCGGCCAGAGGGGCGGACCGCGGGTGGGCGGTGGGATGGGACCAGGTGGGAATAAAGCGGAACTCACCCTTGATGCTGGGGGGCTTTCTCTTTTTGGCCATCTTCTGCACCCACTCCTCCCCCAAACCCCTCACGAGCTTCCGGAGGCTGCAGCCCAGCTCCTAGAACCCGTGCCGTGCCTTCCAGACGAGCTCTCGCCGTGGCTCTCAGCTCAGCGAGCTCTTTGTTGCTGTGATGGCATCTGCGAGGCGGCAGCAGCGGCGGTCCGGCTGCGCGCTCGGCTCGGCTCGGCTGGGGCGGGCGCCGCCGCCCTCTGCTCTCGGCCGTGCTGCGCTTCCAGCCTCGCGCGAGCGATGCTGTGGCCACTGTGGCTGCGGCTGTTGATGCTGCTGTGCTGCTCCTAGTGCTGGAGGGGGCAGCGCTGGGTCCCCGGAGCGCCCGCCCAGAGCTGACCTCCCTCTTTCCCCCACCCCCCTCCCCCACTCCTCCACCCCCGGTGTCCCGTCTGAGCCGCCAGCTCCAATCCAACCAGTGACAGCGCCGCCGTCATCCAGCAGTAGCTGCTGGGGAGGGCGACAGTGGCGGCGGCAGCCGGGGGCTTCTGGGGGAAGCGGGGAGCTCATGGCCATCCGTGGCCAGGGAGGAGAAAGCCAGCCAAGCAGCCCGACTTTGGTAGAGCTCGCGCTTCCTTCTTGCCTGCCTGTCCCTTGGTTTCCGAAGCCCCTTCCCAGGCAGCAGGACACGGTGTGGGACGAGGGATGGGCCCACGAAGGGCAACCGTCTCCATAGCCAACGCGAACTCTAGCCAATTGCAAAAGAAGAGCCACCGCCACTCGCCACCCAGCGCCTTCACCGTTCCCCCTTCTGGGGAGCCTTCTGGGGAGCAGGGAATCCGAATTCCAAGAGGGCAATGAGCTCCGGGCATGATGAGTGTCTCTGTCGAACCGAAAAGGGAAGAGGCACGAGGGAGACTGAGGGCTAGTGGGAGGAGAAAGATTAAATTCCAGAGGCAGCGCACTACCAGATACCTGGAAGGATGACCTAGTTCAGGCCGTAAACTTACAGCCAGGACTCGGGACAGTTCCCTTGGGGCTGTGGGAAAATAGAAAAGGAAGTTGACGCTCTCCTGTTTGGGGGGGAATGGGGAGGGAGAGAAGTGGTTTCTTGGCCCCCAGTAGAAACTGTTCCAGTGGTCCTGTTCTTTCTCGTTCTGATCGGGGGTTTCGAAAGTTTTCATTTTCCTGAAGGAGCTGTCCTACTCTAGCGTGCTGATCAGAGAAGGAATCTCACCAGTATCCCAGAATTAAAAGGGCTTGCAAAACATGTATGACACAGACAACAGCGTGGTGATGGCCTGAGGAAGGTGGAGGGGGCAGAGGCTGGGCGGAGGCAGGCAAAGGAAGGGGGGAGTGGGGACCCCTGTAATGGTGTCAATAATTAAATAAAGAAAAACTGAAAAAAAAGAGGCACGACTGAGAACGTAAAGGTGGTAACTTGGACGTTAAAAGAATGGCAGAAGAGATAGGGAAGGGGATTACCAGTGTGGGAGAGGATTCAAAATCTTTTTTTTTTCTTTACAGGTGCTGAGGTTTCCCCAAAACTCACTTCTTAATTTGCGGAAATCTTATTAACACTATTTCTTTCCTCCTCTACGTTGTTCCCAACCAATTCTGATTATCTAAATATCCAGTGATTGCCCTGACATGTGGGCTCAGTTTGTTCAGTTTGTCCCACAAGCAAAGGGTCACCAGTTCCAGTCAGGGTACATGCCTGGTTTGTTGGTTCTCTGGGTTGGTGTGGGGAGGTGTAAGGGAGGCCACTAATCAACCAATTGATGTTTCTCTCCCTCACCATGTTTCTCTCCCTTTCTTTCTCCCTCCTTTACCCTCTCTCTAAAAATAAATAAATAAAATCTTTTTTAAAAATACCCAGTGATTAAATTTAGTATCATTAGCCAAAAGTTGCCCCAGCATCAATGTGGTGCAGCACAAAAAACCCTGGGGTCCATATCCCTGGGTATGACCTTTGGCCCTAAACTTCATAGCTATGAAAATTTCCACTAGACATTTAAGTCCTCTGTTCTTCTGTTTTCTGGTTTGTAAAAAATCATGTCAAATATTCCTTCCAGCTCTAATAAATGTCCTGAGAATTTTTAGTTACAAAATTATCACATTGTTTTTTGCACTCCTTCTAAATTTAACTTTATATATGTATTATATGGAAATAAGTAATTTGAAGAACATGTAAAATACCCAATTCCTGTCACAACAAAGCTGTAAAACACAAAAAGCTTATTTTCTTAGCATTCCAGCCAATATGAAGGCACTGATAGAAACACTTTGCTTCCTTGTACAACCAAAAGAAGGATAACAACCAATTGAAAAACAAAAAAACAACCAGAACTGCCAGAAAATCAAACTGCCTGAAAGTCCAACAACCAAGGAATTAAAGAAGAAACAATTATCCAGACTGGTGCACTGAGAAAAAGAAATATGGCCCAAATGAAAAAACAGATCAAAAATCCAGAAAAAGAGCTAAGTGACAAGGAGATAGACAACCTATCAGATGTGGAGTTCAAAACACTGGTAATCAGGATGCTCAAAGAAATTATTGAGTTCAGTTGCAAAGGGAAGGAAGACATGAAGGCTATACAAAGTGAAATAAAGAAAAATATACAGGGAATCAACAGTGAAGGGAAGGAAACAGGGGCTCAAATCAATTATTTGGAACAAAAGGAAAAAATAAACATCCAACTGGAACAGAATGAAGAAAAAAGAATTCAAAAAAATGAGTAGAGGCTTAGGAACCTCTGGGTCAACTTTAAACATCCAACATCCATATCATAGTGGTGCCAGAAGGAAAAGAAGAAGAGCAAGAAATTGAAAACTGATTTGAACAAATAATGAAGACAAACTTCCCCAATCTGGTGAGGGAACTACACATGCAAGTCCAGGATGCTCAGAGAGTCCCAAAGAAGCTGGATCCAAGAAGAAGCCAAGACACATCATAATTAAATTACCCAAGATTAAAGCTAAGGAGAGAATCTTAAGAGCAGCAAAAGAAAAGGAGAGAGTTACTTGCAAAGGAGTTCCCATAAGGTTATCAGCTGATTTCTCAAAAGAAACATTGCAGGCAAGAAGGGGCTGGAAAGAAGTATTCAAAGTGGTGAAAAGCAAGGACCTGCAACCTAGATTACTCTATCTAACAAAGCTATCACTTAGAATGGAAGGGCAGATGAAGTGCCACCCAGAAAAGACAAAGATAAAGGAGTTTATCATCACCAAGCCCTTATTATATGAAATGTTAAAGGGATTCATCTAAGAAAAAGAAGATTAAAAACTATAAACAGTAAAATGATAGCAAACTCCCAACTATCAACAACTGAACATAAAAAACAGAAACTAAGCAAACAAGTAGAACAGGAACAGAATCACAGAAATGGAGATCACGGGGAGGATTATCAGTGGGGGATGGGGAAGAATGGGGGGAAAAGGTCAAGAGAATAAGAAACGTAACTCGAAGGAACAAAATAGACGGCAGGGAGAGGGGCGGGGCGGGGCGGGGGGAGGGGGACCAGGTGGAGGTTAAGAATAGTATAGGAAATGGAGAAGCCAAAGAACTTATATGTACAACCCACGGACATGAACTAAAGGATGAGGAAGGGAATGCTGAAGGGTCGGGAGGTGCAGGACAGAGAGAGATAAAGGGGAGAAAAAATTGTGATAACTGTGATAGCATAATCAATAAAATATACTTTTTTTAAAAAGCTTATTTTTTAAGATTTTATTTATTTATTTTTAGACAGAGGGGAAGGGAGGGAAAAAGAGAGGGAAAAGAGAGGGAGAGAAACATCAATGTGTGGTTGCCTCTCGCGGACCACTCCTGGGGACCTGGCCCACAACCCAGGCATGTGTCCTGACTGGAAATTGAATCGGCAACCCCTCTCTGTTCACAGGTTCGTACTCAATCCACTGAGCCACACCAGTCAGGGCTAAGAAGCTTATTTTAATTAGCAAAATAAGCCCATTCTTAGACTTATGACCAGAAATGAGACTCAGTCAAAATTTTCCTCTTTTAAAAAGCTGTCTCTAATTTAATTCAAAACTTCTTTGTCATCTCTCAAACTCTTGAGGGGTGTAAATATTACGTATGTAAATATGCTTAGGCTGTGTTCATATTTTATCACTAGTATGAAATATTGCCTATATTAGAATAATGTCTTACAGTTTATTCATTACTTTCACTTACTTTATTTCATTTAATCCTGCCCACAAATCTGTGACTTTAGAGGGCAGGCCCTGTCTTCCTTGTTTTATAGATGAAGAAATGAGGTTCATGGAGTGTAATGACCCGTGCGCAGCTTCCAGGACTTCTACGCATCTCCTCTAACTCAATGTCAGGCTCTTCCCATGACACCAGCTGCTTATGAAGTAGAATATTTCTGCTTCAGACCAGGGATGTTTTCCCATTTTCTATTTATTTCTTCCACAGTCCCAATACGATTCTCATCAGAGAAAATCCAAAATTTTAGTTGACAAAATATATCTAATTTTTATATCTGTATATGATTAGCATGTGTTTATACTTGTAGCACTTCAAAGTGTTTTTACATGCACTTTCTCAAATGAAGTTCACAACTCTCCAAGGAGATCATGAAAAGAGGTGTATTTGGCCCAAATGAACAGATGAGGAAACAGACTCAGAGATTCTACAATCACAACCAATTAGGCCCTGGGTTTCCAGACCAAGTGTTTCATGAGTAGCCCACACTACACACTTTGTTTTAAAAAGGGCTACAGATAGAGTGCCTGCGGGGATCAGAGAGTCATCAGTGACTCAAGCTATATAAATATGTAAGCTGTGCTTGCGTGAGTGGTAGGGACTGCAGAAAGCTGAGAACATATGCATTACTGCACAGATGCAGGTTGCTTTGTAGGAAAGGAATCCTGGAAATATAAGGATTCTCGTTTTTCTAAAGGAGTCAGGAATCCCCATTTCCATGTGAAATATCCTTTTTGATGTTTGTTAACACAAAAAAAGCAAAACAAGGCAGGCCTAACAGAACATATCTGCCAATAATATAGGGTAGGGCAAAAGTAGGTTTGCAGTTGTGAGTACACAAAACACAGAGTTCATTCTTGTATTATTATTATTTATTAAGTATTGTATTACTTTCCA